GTGGGCAGGTGGGCGGGCGGCCTGTGGCAGCTGGAGACACAGGGAGTGTGGTGTGGGGACACACATGTCTGGGGCTCAGGCTCCAGGAGGCCCAGAGCCAGACCTGCTCATTGCCAGCTGCTCCCCCAAACCTGGCAAATGTGTCTGTGCCTTCGGGTACCAGGGGCTCCTCAGAGACCCTGGGCCAGGCCTGTTTCCCTCTCCTTAAGAAGCCGGGTGTAGTGGGACAACCCTGTGATCCTAGCTCTCTGGGAGGCTGAGGCAGAAAGATTGCAAGTTGGAGGCCAGCCTGGGCAATTTAGTGACATAGTCAGACCTTGTATCAAATTTTTAAGTAAAAAGGAGACTGGGGCTGTAAGTCAGTGACAGAGCATTTGCTTAGCACATGTGAGGCCCTGTGCTCCAGCCCCAGGGACACAAGAAAGAAAGAACCCAAACAAACTTGAGCTGCAGGTGTGATTTAAAATCTTCAGCCAGAGATGGTGGCACAAACCTGTGGCTCCAACATTCTAGGAGGCTGAGGCAGGAAGGTCACAAGTTTAAGCCAGCCTTAGTGACTTATCAAGACTCCAAAACATAAAAGCATGTGGATGCAGCTCAGTGTGAAGACCCTGAGTGCAACCTCCAGTACTGAAAAAAAAAAAAACTAAAATTGTCTAGTGAGTGGCCATGCTTAAACGATTGTTTGGGGAGGTTGCAATAAATTTTAATTATAACTGTCTGCAGTGGTACACACCTATAATCCCAGCAGTCAGGGGGCTGAGGCAGGACTGCCATGAGTTCAAGGCCTGCAGGAACTACATAGTGAGGCCCTGTCACAAACAAAAAATAGTGGCACATGTTGTTATCCTAGCCCTTGGGAGGCTGAGGCAGGAAGATTGCCATGAGTTCAAGATGAGTCTATGCTCATAGTGAGTTCAAAGCCAGTCCAAATTACAGAGCAAGACCCTGGCTCAACAAAACCAAGTTGGAATACAGATTTTATTTAACCCAAGATATCAAAAGTATTATCATTTTAACATGTAACCAATAGAAACCCTATTAACGAGACAGTTTCTGTTTCTTTGTGCTGAGTGTACAACAGTCAGTGTGTGTGTTATGTGCACATCTCAGCTCAGTCTCCAGGTGTCCATGGCTTTGTGCTGGTGATCCTTGAGGACAGCACAGCACTCTACCGCCTGTTCTCACCATACTTTATCACCACTCTCCGTCTGGGAGTCACTGAGCCCCTGTCTGCTGAGTCCTGGCCCAGCCTGTCATGTGGCGCCTGTCCGTGCTTGCAGATGCAGACCGAGGGCCCCAGAACCCAGGGCCAGCTGTTTGCTCAGCTCTGGTGCAGGGAAGGGCTCCTCACATCCTGGGGTTCACACCCCCGGTTTAGGGTGGCTCAGGACTCCTGCACACCCCTTCCCCACCCCCGACCCCACCACCTGGCCACTTTCTCATCCAGTTGGATTCCCAGTTCTTCCTTCAAATCCGGCCGCCACGTCTGTTCACAAAGCCCGGCACAGCCTGCATCCCCAGAGCCTACGCCATCTGCAGGAATCATCACTGTCCCCTCCAGGCCAGATGTCAGTGGACTGCTCTGCTCCACCCAGCCGCCCACTGCTACTTCAGTCACGACTGCATCTGGGCCTTCATCGTGACCTTGCAGAGAGCCGGGCCGTTGGGTCAACTGGGGATCTCGGAGAGTTGAGGACACAGTTTGAAGGCTGTGGCCTCACCAGGCAGCTGTTTCCCCTTTGCAAACTCCACAGGACCAAACCCGCCCCCCCAACTCCAGCCCACCAGACTGGGCCCCAGGGAGCAGGGCTGCCCTGGCCAACTCCTGCTGACACCCTGGGGCCTCTGAAGGGTGTCAGGGAGCATGGCTCCCTCCAGGCCTTGAGACGGGGGACAGGGACAGGGAGCGGGGGGAGGAGAAGCGCTAAGGCCTCTCTGGAGCTTGCTTCCAGTTGGCAGGGGGAAGCTGCTCCAGGGAGGTAGTAATTTGCCTGTGGCTTAAAAGATACAAACGGGTGCTGTTCTATTACCCAATTTGACATAAAACCCCAGATTCAGGGAATCCCCCACATGGCTGTTCCTGGAATCTGCTGTGAAGCCAGGGAGACAAACCCAACAAAGCCAGAGCTGGTAAATCCAGGATTTGGGACGAGGGGACAGATGCTGAAGTGAGGTTAATAAACCCCTGCCTTGGTGTAAGGGAAGGTGACTCTGGGGAGGTGGCACCTGGAAGAGGCTAGAATGTGGGGAAATGCTAGCTAGGCTAAGAGTGAGAAGGAGTATTCAAGGAGGTATTATGCAAAGGCCCTGGGGCAGCACAGGGCTCAGCATGAGCCTGGGTTGGAAGAGAGGGGCCCAAACCAAGGGACAAGCAAGACAGATACACTGTCGGAAGGTGTAGTATCTTCTTTCCCAAATACAAGAGCCAGTTAGTTTGGGGGTTGGGGGTACATTGGCACTCATGTGCTCCATGGTCTCAGGAGGAAGGTACCTCTAGCTTGTTCAAGACTCAGTGATTTTCCCAAGCCACTCATTCATTTATTTACTCATGCATTCATTCAGCAAATGTTTCCAGAGCTTCATGGGCTCTGGGACAGCCTGGGCTGTGGCTGGGTGAGACCTGCCCCCTCCCCCCACCTCCAGAAGACAGAGGACGTGCTAGGAGGTGAGGGTGGAGCATACAGGAAGCAGAGACTGCAGAGCCCAGCTGAAGTCAGGAAGGCTCTGGAAGCTGAGGAGGGGCTGTTGCAGGTCAGTGGGAGAGGCTGGCTGTGGCCAGAGAAAATGGAAACCCATCCTGTGTGCTGAGGGCAGTGGGAGCTATGGCAGATGTGACTGAGGGCTTGCAGTTGCTGACGCAGGATGCCCTGGGGTTACCACTCCCTGCGCCCCATTTTACAGATGGAGAAAATGAGGGCTGTGAATTCCTTTGGCCTGAGGCCCCTGCCATATGATTCACCTGACAATAGCTTGCAGTTGGGAGAGAATGGAAGAGCTCTTCACAGCCAAGTCAGCTCAAGGCCGTGTGTGAGGGGCAAGTGAGGGGTGCGTGCGTGTGAGGGTCTGTCAGACCTGCTGTCTGTGGTGGGCTCCATGTCTGTTACCCAGCAACCCTGGGGGAGTCACCCTCATATCCTGTCTGTGTGTCTCTGAAACAAGTGCTCTTCCTGCCAAGCTGGGCTCCTGTTTGGGCCCAGGCAGTTTGGGCCTGGCTCTAGGGGCCCCCAGGTTTGGCCAGTGAGCCTGAGCCAGGTGCGGTGGTGCACATCTGCAATCCCAGCTACCTAGGAGGCTGAGGCAAGAGGATCTCAGGTTCAGCAAGAACTTGTCTTATAAAATAAAAATAACATTTAGTGGTTGTTTGGTTTTGATGGTACGGGGGATCAAACTCATGACCTTGCGCTTGCCAGGCAAGCGCTTACACTACTGAGCTGAATCCCCAGCCTCTATAAAATAAAAATAAAACAAAATGGTCTGCAAATGGAGTTCAGTGATGGAGTGCTTGCCTAGCAGGTATAAAGCTCTGCATTTAATTCCCAGTGCCTGGAAAGAAGAGAAAAGCAGGGGAAAAGAGCTTGGTACCTCACCATGCACTGCTCCTGGGGAGGCAGTTGCACTGGTTGGGGTGCCTGCAGGGAAACTGGCCAACCACGAAGCCAGTGCCTGGCCCCGGGAGCTAGGACATCCATGGACCAGCCAGGCTGACACAAAGGCGAGGCCTCTGGCAGGAAGGGGCTCCTGGCCAGCTGGGCTGGACACCGAGGCAGTGAGGGAATGGAGACAGGAAGGAGGCTGCGCAGCTGGAATCTGGGGCAGCCATTGTCTCACCTGGGGCTGGGCGCCGGCTGGGGGCCCCATGTGTCTCCCCCAGTCTGGAGAGCAGCAAGGCCCCACCCTGGCCTCAGTTTCCCACCTGTAAAACCAGCCACACATCTGGGGATGACACAGCAGTGACACTGAGACGCGTGCCAGCCATCACCCCAGCACTTGGCCTGAATTATCCCTGTGAGCCCAGGGCTGTGGTCGCTCCCCTGTGACAGAAGCCCCAGAAGTCAGAGGCGGTCAGACCCCTCAGAGGGGTCACCTGCGTCTCACACAGAGGGGCAGAGCCGGGACTCAGGCCAGCCCACTGTTCCAAAGTCCTGGCTGCTTCATCTTCCACTCTGCCTGTGTGGTCATGGGCCACGCGCTCACTTTAGGTTCGGGACACTGACAGTCAAACAGCCCGACCAGCTGTGACAGGACGGCTGAATGGAGACAGATGGCAGGAAGGCAGGTAGATAAGTGGACAGGTGATAGGTAAAGGATAGGAGTTTCGCTCACAGGCACGGAAACCACAGGAAACCTGTCCAGGTGCGAGCCATGAGGTCACGGCCACTCCAGGGCTCCAGGGCTCCAGGACTGTGGTCTGAAGCCTGAGCCCTCTCACAGAGAGGGGCAAGCCATTACTCTCCAAGGATGATGCTGGACAGGCTCAGAGACCGAGGGACTTGCCCAACACCACACAGCAGGGGCAGAGTCAGGATCTTCTTTGCTGAGCTCAGCTCTGTTTGAGGCTCCGAGCTGCCCCCGCCGCCCCTCCTCCCCCTGGATTCCCCACAGGAGGAGACTGGGGCAGGAGCACGTTCGCTTCCAGGTGGACGAGGGGAAACAGGAAAGGCCCCAACAGGAAGAGGGGGAGGAGGATGCTTTGGGGCTTCCCAGGTGACATCCTGGCCCAGGCAGGGTGGGGCCAGCCCATCCTCCACCCAGAGCCACCCTTCTCCCACCCTGATTGAGCCCCAGGGATCCCCAAGGGACCCAGGACTCTGTCAAGGACTGGCCCTGGGCCCTGCTGGGAGTTGGCCATGGCCAGGAGCCTTCCTGCAGGGACATGGTATCCTGAGAACAAGGTAGGGGTCAGGTGGCACCTGGGGTGTAGGCACCAGGGACCCGAGCCCCTTGCCGTGGTGGATCTTTCCAGGCCAGTTCCCACCTACAACAGCCAGCAAAGCACCTGCAGTTAGTTAGCATTTTATTGAAGGTCTGGCCGGGTGTGGGAGGAGGCCCAAGGCACCCTGGACGGGGAACCAGCCAAGGCTCATCTCAGGGTGCAGGCTCCGCTCAGTAGCTCCCGTCCCTGCAAACACCCAAAGGACACACCTCAGACCCGGCCACCAGGGCACAGATCTGGACCGGATGTTAGGACGGTGACTTCCCGTGGCCAGATGTGGGAGGCCAGCTGGGAGAGGGGTGGGAAGGAAGGCCAGGCGACAGCCCCTGCCCATCCTCAGGAGGTCCCTACAGGGGGACAGAGAGGGACAGAGAAGGACATTACCCCCAGCTCAGGCTGCGCTTGGCCAGCTCCACCTGGGCCAGACGGTGGTCACTCAGCACCCGCACCCTGGTGATGGCGGCCAGCGGTCTCTGGCGGTGGGGGAACTGCAGGACCTTGTGCTCCTGGGCGTAGACGTGGAAATGCTCCCCATCTGAGCTGATTTCCATCTGGCCAAGTGGTAGAGTCATCCTCAGGCCAGCTGCCAGCTCCTTTCTCCCAGAAGGAAGGAGCTGGTGCCCAGGTGTGAGCATCCCATGGCACAAATGGGGAGACCGAGGCTGGGGGAGACTTACCAGGAAGGGTAAACTGTGGAGCTGGCCTCCAGGAACCCCCTCCTTCCCAGCCTCCTGTCCCTATCACCCTCCATCAGGCCCCACCCAGGCCCCTGTCACCTCAAAGGGCTCCCCCAGGGCCAGTGGGAAGACACTGGACACCTCCTCCTCGCCCCACCGGCCGCCCTGGAAGGCATTTCCCACCACCGTGGCGCTGGAGAATCGGGGCTTGATGTGGAAGGCGATGTCTCCTGTTTCAGACAAGAAGTTGATCTCAAACCTGGAGACACAGTGTAGGTCACAAAGCCAGTTCAGGGCTGGAAAGTCCCAGCCCGAGGCCCAGGAGGAGATAGCAGTGTCCCTTACTTGTCCTCGCTGGAGTCCGCCTGCCCCTGGACCATGAGGCTCCAGCCAGGGGCCAGGCCCCCTGCACAGAAGGCTTCAAACTGAAGAGAGAAACAAGGGGTCAGAGCCCTGTGGGGCTGTGGCCTCCTCCCCTCCCCAGCCCCAGCCACGCACTCCCCTGTGTGACCCTGCCTGGGACTATGTACCTCTGAATGTCCTCCTCATGGCAACGGTGGGAATGGGATGAGCCTGCTCGGCAGCAGCTCTGGGGGGACCTTTGCCCCTGTATCCCTGCTGCTGGGGTCTAATGGGCACCAGAAGGGAGGAGCACAACCAGCCTGGGAGCCCCACACCACCCAGCCCTGCTCAGGCTCTCACCCACCTGCACGGCCATTGCCCCACCACCAGGAGGACTGCGGCTGGTCAGGGGCAGGGATATAGGCCGGCTGGGCTGGGCGGGGCACAGCAGCCCTGCCCCCAGGGGCCACGTCCCCTCCACGCTCCCCTTCTCTGGATTCGGGGGCTGGGGTGGGTGTAGCTGCACAATAAGGGACCCGTTCTCCATTCTCTGGGCCTGGGTTATCCCCAGCATCAGGAAAAAAAAAAAAAAGCATGCACCAGGTCCTCCCGCACCCTGCCCTTCCCGGCCCCACCTCCACTGGGCCTGCCAGGCTCTGCCAACTCCATAGTCCAGATGCCTCCCACCTCTGAGAACACAGCCACTCCGAATCCCACCCTAGAGACCCAGGAGAGGGAGCCCTGCTCCCCTCCCAAATCTGCCTTTCTGGCCAAGTGTGAAGGGCCTGCCTGGCCTTCTGGGGTCCCAACTGATGCCCCGGGCCACTGCCTGACTTCCTACCCATCCCATCCCATCCCCCAGGCAGAGCAGCCTCATGGGGCAGCGGGGATTAGGCCAGCGCTGGTCAGCGCATTCCAGGGCTGTGGTGAGGGGTAGGGGCTTCCCGGCCCCTCCTGGCCGTGTGCCCTGGCCCCTCTCCGGCTAAGCCAGGGAGGGAGGAAAGGGGGCTGGGGCTTCCAGGCGGCCTTGGGGACAGGGAGACACAACTCCAGGCTGCTCTGGAGAGCTGACCAAAGAGGGACCTCAGAGCTCCTGTGTGCAGAGAACGTGCAGTGAGCATGTACAAGTGTGAACCATGGGTGTGCAAGGTGCGTGAGTGTGGTATGTGGCTGCGGATGATGGGAGAGTTGCCGAGTCCCTGCCCATGATCTCTAAACTGGATCACAAGGGTGTCCCCCAGGTTCCTCATCTTTGTGCTTCTGCCTTCCTCCTGTGCCCGTGTTTCTGTATTTGTGTTCCTGTGTGTCTCCTTCCTTTTGTCCCCATGTGTCCCCCACTCATTCTTTACTCCAACAAGGCTGACCCTAGGGCCTGCAGGGCAGCCCTGACAGAGAGGCTGTATAAGATAAGCCTGCCACGTCCAGGTCGCCATCCTGCCTGGTCACCCAGGGCCTGGCAGCAGCCTGCCCCAGAGGGTCACAGAGTAAAACCTCTGGCCACAGCATGGGGCACAGGGATGGGGTCGTCAAGAAAAGACACAGAGCCCGGACACTGAGCATGCAGGGCCTGGATACCAGACACCCTGCAAGCAGGGCCCAGGGCCCAGAGCTGGGCAGACTGCAGAGTCAGGGGCTGGGGCAGGCCAGCCACCTTGAGCCAATGACCCTGGGCCTTAGTCTTCCCAGCTGTGTGCTGGGTTCACCAATGCTGACCTCTGCTCTGTGCAATGCCCTGGTCATGGGGGCCACTCAGCCTCTGTCCCCTGGTCTTGAGGTTAGCAGGGGAACTAGTTGGAGGGACTTGGGTCTGGTGGGAACTGGGGGGCTGTGGCAGAACTGGGCCCCACACTTGCTGGAAAGGGATCAGTTGTGGCTACCTGAGGCCAGAGGTCAGAGACCCCACTTTAGTTGGCCGGGAGAGGTCTGAGCCCCAGCCTCCCTATCTGAGCCATGGTGTTGTGTTACAGGAAACCCAGAGTCCCTTGAGCCCGCCTGCTCCAGCCCTGCTCAGGCTCTGCAGCTCTCCGACAGAGAGACAAGCACCATGGGACGAGGACCTGAGTTCTCACCCCAGTGACTTTAGTCTCAGAACCTCTCACATCTGGTGGGAGCCCAGAGCCACCCAGCTCCGGGCTGATGGCACTGGGAAGCGGAGAGAGCCATGGATGGAGGGGGCAGCGCTGCAGGCTGGGTGAGGACACTGTTCTCTCCAGCTTGCCAGCCACGGGGCTGGGTGCTGGGTGCTGGCTGCTGGCTGCTGGCTGCTGGGTGCCGTGGCTTGGAGCCCAGAGCAAACAGATCCCCTGTCCCAGAGCTGCCACCCCCTCCAAATGTGTGCTTTGTCTGGTGTTGTTGACAGGAGGCCCTGAACAAACAGAGCTGAGAGACAGTAACTTCTCAGCCCTGGCAGTGCCCAGCACAGGGCAGCCGCACAGAGCCGCCAGGCACTAAATCTGAAATCCGGCCCAGAACACAGCGCATCATCTATGGAGTGCCTGTTCTGTGCCAGGTACTAGCCCAGTTTTTGTTTTGTTTTGGGGATTACACCAGGGCCTTCACTCTGCACTATATGCCCAGTCCTTTTCATCTTTCTAGTTCGAGACAGGATCTTGCTAACTCTCTAAATTGCCCTGGCTGGGCTCCAACTTGCAATCCTTCTGCCTCAGCCTCGCAGAGTTCTGGGATTACAGATGTTCACCCCACACCCAGCATATTTACTGCATGCACATGAGACTTATCCTTAAGTCTCTGATCCAGAGAGCATGAGAGCACAGAGAAGTTAAGGGACTTGTCCAAGGTTCCACAGGTAGGGAGCAACTCGGCCCCATGAAAGGCTGGGTGAGAGGGTCCCAGGCTCACCTGCAGTGGCCCCCACACAACCCTCTCCACATCGGCCATCAAATCTTCCCATCCTGGGCACGTCCTCTATCACAGAAGCTTCTGGGTTCTCTCCCCTGCTTGGGACAAGGGGAGTTGTCTTTTTTTTCTTTTTCTTTTTGGACTTTGGAGCCAGGTTTCATTTTATAATTCAGGCTGAGCTTGAATTCATGATGATCCTCTTGCCTCAGCCTCTAGAGTACGGGGATTACAAGCAGGTGCCACCATCCCCATCTTGGGACAAAGGACATTCTCCATCCAGACCATTAATGGAGGTCCTACTGGGTGCAGAAGCTGCCAGGAACCCTCAAAGTCAGGGACAGGATCGTTCTGCATGCATGGGATCCTCCACTGTCCCCTCCCCACCCCCACCCACAGCTCCTAGCACACAGTGTGTTCTCCGATGATGCAGTGCCTCTACCACCCTCAATTCAGGCCAGAGGAGGACCCTAACCCTGGAAAGTCAGTGCTAAGAAGGATCCAGGGAGCCCAGGTCATCCTGGCCCTGTGGAGCCTGACTTCGCGTGGGGCACTGTGCTGGGGGCCATGCTGGATGGACACACGGAGGTAAGTGAGCCCACGTCAGTGATGGAGATGGCCACCAGCCACCCAATCGTGGACTTGGGGAATATTTGTTGAGCACCTACTGGGTGGCAAGCTGTGCTGTGAATGAGTCAGACAAACAGACAGACAGACAGACAAACAGTTCATGCCCTCAGGAGCTTCCTGCATCTGAGGGAATGAGTAGGCACTGAATGACAAAATCCCAAATGGAACTTCATGGCTTTGGTGTTGTTAGGATCAGAGTTCTGGAGCAAAAACACGGGGAAGGGAGATGGTGCGCCCAAGCAGAGCTGGCCTTGGTGGGGAGGCTTCCTGCAGGAGGCAGCAGTTGAATGACCCCAGAGGAGCGCAGGGCTGGCTGGGGTGGGGGCAGTGTTCCTCACAAAGGGAGCGGTGAGCAGAAGCCCCGGGGAGGGCAGGGTGAGGGGCTACACCTCCTCTTGGTCTTTACTTTTGGGCACTTCCTCCCCAATTAGCCCTAGTTAACCCTCAGCAGCCCAGTGCCCAGCTATTGTCCGGGGCCTCTGCCCTCAAGTCTCCTGTCACCCTGAGAATCTGCTCCTCGGTGTCACTTGCTGGGGCTGCCAGTTCTGACCCCCAGCACAGTGAGCCTGGTCCTCTCCCAGGACGGCCTCTCCGGTCCACATCTTCCTCTTTTTTTTTTTTTTTTTTTTTTTGTCTTTTTCTTTTTTATCAGTACCAGGGATCGAACTCACGACTGCCTGCTTGCAAGGCAGGAGCTTATGCCACTGAGCTAAATCCCCAGCCCTTCCACATCTTCCTCTTGCAAATCAAAGCAGCCCCATTGGCCTTGGACACAAGCAAGGGGTCTTGAGTGTCCTTGCTTCTCCTGAGCCTCAGTTTTCCCATCTGAGAGAGACAGTGGGCTGATGAACTTTTCTGAATGTTTTGTGAGGGCTGGGACAACCCTGTTTGGTCCAAGGGAAAGATACAAGGTGGGGGCCACATGACACCACACTGCACAGGAAGGACCAGTGTGGGCTCCCCAAAGTGGGCTCCCTCAGGCACCTGGGTCCAGCCAAACCTTTGGCTCCAAAGTTCTCTCGACACTCTGGGAAGCAGCACAATTACCCTATTATCTCCCCCTTTTTTCAGTAATGGGGATTGAACCCAAGACCTGTGCACAACTATATTCTCTGTTCTTTTCTTTTTGAGACAGGATCTGGCTAAATCAGTAAGTTCCCCAGGCTGGTCTTGAACTTGTAACCCTCCTGCTTCAGCCTCCCAGAGTGCTGGGATGACATGCGGGTGCCACTGTGCCCAGCTTGGCTCCATTTGATTGTTGTGCAGCTGAGGTTGAAGGGCAGCGGTGAGGCCCAGGGTCCTGAGCAGATTTGCCCAGCACAGAGGTGGGGGCGCTGCTTGCTACCCACTTGGGTTTGCAGGCCCCACAGCTGCACCCCATAGCTCGGTGCTCCTTAGTGATTTGCTCACTTTGCCACCACAAATGGAGCTCACATAGTTGTTTCCATTTCCTGTTGAGAATCAAACGCCCAAGTTGGGCAATGATCCTGGGTAGACGGAGGCTGGAGGGCAGGCGGGGCCCAGGACACACAGGGCTAACCCCTGCCCTGTAGGCGGTGTGCAGGCCCAGGGTGCCCAGGCCGGCTTGGCGGCCAGTGGGATGCTCCTGGGGCAGGCTGGGCTGGGGCAGGGCAGGGCTGCCCCAGACACACCTGCAATGGACCAACTTCCTAACGTTAAAAATCCAGAGGTTAGGGCCACCTGCTCGGCACCCAGTCTGTCTCTCTCAGACAGAAGCTTTCTTCCTCTCAATAAGTGTATTCTGCTCTTAACCTCCACTGTTTCTAAAATCCATTCTTCGATGTTAGAGAACATGAAATCGTACCAGACATCTGGTAGGTTGGGAGTTTCTTTCCCCTGTCTCGTTTGGAGATCTTCCACCGAGATCATTGGT